ACACACACACACACACACACACACACACACACACACACACACACACACACACGAGAGACCCACTGAGCCAAGAGATAAATGCAAATGACCGACATGATCTTGGCTAAGCAAAAGTCAAACACATTCTTTCCATAGACTCAATAAGGTCAGAAGGCCAAGAAAGAAGTTCAAATCAATGTTCAGAAAGTAATCAGTTTTCAAAGAACTAGCCCCCAACTCATTTGTAATTCATTCTGCCTCCTAGGTTCAAATCTTAGCTCTGCTATTTAACTTCTGGTGTGACCGCTGTCACATTCACTTAACCTATGGGCGTCAGTTTCCTTACCAGTTAGTATGGGGTGGAAGTAACACATTTTTAAGGTGTCTTCCAGCTCTGGATGCTATGAACAGGAAATTTAGAAAACCACAAACTTTTATAATCAGGAGCATTCCTATTATAAAGAGTCACTCGTTTTCATTCTATCCTTGGTTAGAAACAACTCAACACTGTTTATCTATAAACCTTTTGGATTAATGCACAGGAATTCATAAAACATGACATGTCTCCTCTCCCCATATCTGGGCATGGACTACAGGGTAGGGAGTAAGAGGGAAAAGGAAGGAATAGACACCTACAGGATGCTTCAACCAATGATCCTTGAAGGCAGGACGCATCTTCTTATGTACCACCACCTCCTGCAGGTCTTCTAGGGATGGATGTTGACCAATCTCTTCCTCAAAAGGTAACATGTACTCATCCACAGGCCCTGCAAAAAGTAGGTAACAAAAGTAGGGTCATGGCTCATGTCGAGAGAGGACACCAGCACCCATCAACCCTACCATAACCACCACTGTCACCATAGTCATTGGCAGAATAACATAAGACCAAAAATTAGGATGGTATAACATTGTATTGGACACCAAACAAGATCATGGTGGTAGAGAAGACATGGTCCTTGAAGTCAGGGAACTCCAAGCATGATGAAGATCACTCCTCACATCCATAGGTCCTCAGACACTCACCATCCACAGCTGTGCATCTAGACACCAGCTCCCACAGTACCAGCCCCATTGCGTACATATCAATCCTCAGGAAGGCATCTCTCTGAAAGTTGATTGCTCCCTCCAGCACCTCAGGGGCCATGTACCGCCTGGTTCCTACCTACATTAGATAGACCACAAAAGCAGGGGGTGAGAGGGGAAAATAGGACATGGTAGAGGGAGCGGAGTAAGGAGACTCAGGATGAATAGCAAGTGACCTAGTGGACCAAACAATGGCCATATTGTCAGAATATTTTGGGTTCAAATCCCATCTGTCATTTGACTGACTAGCTAGAGATGAACAAGTCATTTTGCGTATCTGTAAAATGAGCATGTTGGGACTCAATGACCTCTATGGTCTCTTCTAGCTAGAATATTCTATGATCCACAGCAGGAGAATAAGCCACCATTATTCACAGGATCTATGATCATCAGGGATGTCACTTCCCACATTAAGAGCAGTGCAATGAATGACAAGGTAATCCAAAAACCAAGATTAATTCAAAAATACTACTTGGCTTTGGGATATGAAATGTGTTTTATTTGCTGGAGGGAACAGAAATTACCTGTTTAATTTTATTTTTTCTTTGGCTACTTGGTAAATGATCTGTATTTTCTGCCTACTCTCCCTCTGCCTGAGCCTGAATTCACCAGCTGTTTGATAGGTTGGTATGATCCATAAGAAGATGGATAACAAGACAGAAGGCTCCCTAATTCTTTGAACTATTGCCCTAGGTTCCACTGCATATTGTGATACCTATCTCCCACTTAATTTTCTTTCTCCAGGGTGATATGAGGGCCAAAGTGCCTCAGATAAAATAGTCAACCTTAAGTGTAGTAGGCATTAATATGATTTAGGGGAAAGTTGTACAGATAAGAACTAGTCACGCCTCAGACTTGGCTTGCTAGGATATACCCTTTGCCCAAGGTCCAGCCCCCAGGTATTCTGCATAAAAGGGAAGAGAGGGAGAAAGGGAGACAGGGAGAAAGAGAGAAAGGGAGAGGGGGAGAGAGAGAGAGAGAAACAGACAGAAAGACAGAGAGACAGAGACAGAGACACATCAGTGTTTGAGGTTACTAGGGTCAAGCTCTATAGTTAGCTTTCAATTACCCATGCAACTAGGGTCTAGGAGAGTTCACATAATTGCAAAGTCATTAGTATCTGATTTCAGAATCTATTACATGATTTTAACCCAGCACATTGTCTTCTCAGTAATATCTGATCCAGTTAGGTATTAATGTTGGTTTCTAGACGAAAGGCATGTTGGTTGGTAGGAAGAGGAAGGGAGTTGGGATTTGGCAGCAAGAGCTAACTGTGAGCCTAAGCCTCACACCAAATGGACATCATCCCTGGCCTCCCTCCCTTCTCACCTGCCCATGGGTATCCCCTGGAGGCTTTCCTGGTTCAAACCGCACAGCCAGTCCAAAGTCAGCCAGGACAGCTGTGAGGTCACTCTTCAGTAAGACATTCTTGCTCTTGAAATCCCTGGAAGAAGTCAAGACAGAAGCTAAGCTGAGACCTCCAAGGCAGCACCCTGAACACCCTGAGCTGCTCTCTCTCTCTCTCTCTCTCTCTCTCTCTCTCTCTCTCTCTCTCCGTCTGTAGCAGGACTAGCTTGCAACCCAGGATTCATGAGAATTCTGAGTTGGTGCTTGGCCTGAACTATGCAGATGACTCCCAAGTCTTCATTTTTAGCCCTCCTCTGCAAGTACTTCCAGCTCATCCTGGAGCTTCGCTGGGGCCTCTGTGCCATGTAATATCCAACCGTCCCTGTGCCCAACACAGCCTGTAATATCCTTCCTATAAGGCCCATCCCCTTCTCATTGCTGAGTTCCTCCCAGAGCCTCCCATTTTGTGGAGGGGTCCAGGCCAGACTTCATTCCTTTTCTGGACCTGTTTCTGGCTCCCTCACTTCCCAACTATGCGTGCCTCATCCTGAACTTCCCCCAATACCTGGAGCCTTCCCTATGCAATTTACATACCGGCCAAACTTGGCTTTCTTCTTATTTCACATATGTGGCATTCCATCTTCCCATTATGTGGAAGGCTGTCCCCTACACCCAGAATGTTCACTCTTTTCCTCTCTGCCTCTTAGACCTTAACTACCCCATTAACTTCCACCTAGACCTAACCTCCCACTTTCTTCAAGAGGCTTTTCCATTTCCCCCAGATTTTAGTACCCCCATCCCCAAACACTGAGTTTTTTGGTATATTTCCTATATTTATTGTGAACATGTTGACTCCCCTTATTAGAAGGTAAAACTCTTTGAGGTCAGGGACTGTCTTACTTTTATATTCATATCCTTTGGCCCCTAGCACAGTGCCTGGGATATAGCAAGAGCTTCATAAATGCCTGTTGATTGACCAACATAAGATAAAAAGTCCCAACCAGTGATTAAAGGAAGAAATGTCTATTTGCTTCAAATTACATATCACATCACCACATTCAGCTAACACTGAATTCCCATAAGCACATATCTACTGAGGGGCTAGAGATATGTGGCCCACGGTTAAAACTTTTTATCTAAGAAGAAAAAATAAGAGTACCTGAAAGTTTACTACATTATTATTGCAGTCTAGAGGTATAGATCAGCCCCAAGTGCCAAAAGTCTCCCCTGTCCTGCCCCCCATCCACATGCCTTCATCCAGTGCTCCCAAGTCTTGTACAATGGATATAAAATGTAGATGGGAATCCTTTCATTTTTTTTAGCTGGGTAAAGGCCAAAGAAACTGGAAGGAAGTCCACAGGAGGTACTTCTCCCCCTGAGCACGGCCTCCTTTTTCATGGTGGGGCAATCATAAAATGTCATATACATGACTTTGGTGATTATTGAGACCCAGACAGAGGAAATTTACTTTCCAAGGTCATACGAGTTAGTGGCAGAGTCAAACTTAAACCCATGATTTATGAGTCCAAACTCAGCACTTTTACCACATCTGAGGATGGTTAACAGATAAGTTAAATTAATATAACAAAGTAACAGAGAGTGAGTCGTCCTCATGATCTAGTAGGAGGCAGAAGATCTGCCAGCCCTTTTGTTAACTTATTATGACTGTGAGCAAACATCAAGCCTCAACTTCCTCATGTGCAAAATGAAGGAGATGGTCTGCTTCAGGGGTTCTTAACCTAGAATCCATAGATTTCAAGGGTTCTGTGAATTTGGAAAGGAAAAAAATACATCTTTCTTTTCAGTAACCTCTTAACTAAAATTTAGCATTTTCTTCAATTATTTAAAAACATTATTCTGAGATGCAGTCCACAAGCTTCACCAGACTGCCAAGGGTCCATGATACAAAAAAAAAAAATTTTAGGAACACTTGGTCTAGATGATTCCTGTGGTCCTTTTCTATGTCAATAATATGGGTATGTAAGCCTGCATGTGCATGCTTAACACAGATTTAGGAACCGGTAGGTGTGAAACCAAAGGCCTGGGTACTTACAAGTTCTCTTTTACCACTTAGGAAAGTGGTAAATCATATCCTTCAGTTCTCCTTATCTCTCAATTTATCAAATTCCTTTTCCCCTACCTTCCCCTGCCTGACTCCCACCAAAGTCCAGAAGCCACTGAGAATTTGGGAAAGGTAAACAGGCAAAAGGAAAAAAAAACCTCCTCAATAATGCTTCCTTCCTCACCTTCCCCCCATTCCCCAAACTAAATACAGAACCCTAAATAAAGGCTTCCTACTGAAAGAAAAAAAAAGTCTAGCCTTGAATGGGTTAATTATTTAAAAACAACATGCGAAACCAAACTGCCACTAGAGGGCACTTGGAAATCAACCACCAGCTACCGCCAAACTCTGAGTCAGGCCAGAGCAGAGGCTGGAGTGGACGAAGAACTAAGAGTAAATAGAACTGACATCAGTGTCTTTCTAAGTCAGCAGCAGCAGCAGCAGCAAGAGAAGGTTTTACCCATGTTAACTTCATCCTTATCCCTATCCCCATCAACCCCATGAGGATTTCTTGGCATGCTGATTAACACACCTCCCTAGAGTCTACTCAAAAAGGACGTCAATGGCATATACTCTTGTGTGCCATCTGTGGGCAAAGCTCGTCCAATTCCCCTGCCAGTCCCCAATCTTCATTCAAGTCTATTGTGTTACCCTATTCCTTCCCTTACCCTGCTCCATACCTGTGGGCAATGGCTGGCTTGTGCCCCTCTCCTCGGCACCAGGGCACATCTTCATGCAGGTAGGACAGACCTCGGGACATGGTCTCAGCTACATGACACAGCTCATTCCAAGTAACAATGTTCCCTTTTAAATAATCTGTGAGAGAACCCTAGAAGAAGTAGCACAGTGACGGTTCAGACATCTAGAAGGGTAGCATACCTCTAGAAAATCCAAACTCATAAGAAGAGTTCAGATTCAGCCTTGTCCTGGAGGTTGTGACTGGGGAAGAGGCCAAAGGGGTCACCTTGTCCCAGAAGTCCAAGAGGCAGGGCAGAGGTTATGCATCTCTTAGGGGAGGGGAAAGGGATGTCAGGATCACCTTGTCATGGAAGGCTGTGATAAGCCACAGCTCCACCTCCAGGTTGGAACCTCTCTTTTCTGCTGCAATGAACTGGAGCAGGTTTTCATGTTTCATGCCTGGCGTGCTGAAGATGTCCCGTTCACTCTGCCAGGACTGCTTGTCCTAAGGGATAGAGAATATTCAGTTCTGAGACCTCAAGGACTAATCCTCTGATAGTTATGGTATAGTCATCCTAGCCCCCAAATTTTCCCAGTCCATCAACAAGCATATATTAAGCACTTATGAGGTGGAAGGCATTGTACTAATAAGCACTTGGAGCATAAATAATTAGGGACATAGGCAGTCTGAAAGGGGAGAGCAAAGCAGCTGAGAGGATAAATCCTTCCCTGACTCCAAACCAGAAAGTATACTCTTATGAGAGATCACCTGGGAGAAAGGCAGCAAGATGACAATTCTGAAGACCTAGCTGATCTACCATTCTCATTCTGGGACTTTGAGAATCTTCAATATTGCCATCTATTGGCCACTTTCCCAATACCTACAAATATGGTCAGAGGGATCCCTGATCCAACCTTGCTATTCCCCAAAGCTACAGCTCTTCTCCCTTTAACTGCTAAACTTTTAGTCATTGATACCAGCCGCCTCCACTTTAACCAATATCTACTTGCAGTCTGGCTTCTAACCTCACCATTCACTGTCCCTTTCCCAATACCTGCAAATATGGTCAGAGGGATCCCTGATCCAACCTTGCTATTCCCCAAAGCTATAGTTCTTCTCCCTTTAACTCCTAAACTTTTAGAGTCATTGATACCAGCCACCTCCACTTTGACCAATGTCTACTTGCAGCCTGGCTTCTAACCTTTCCATTCACTGAAACAAATTTCTCCAAGATTAACAAGGGTCTCAACTGCCAAGTCTAAATGCCTTTTCCTCAATCCTCACCTTCCTTAACTTTTCTGCATCAATTAACACTACTGACCACCTCCTCTTTTTGGATATTCTCTGCCTTCTTGGCTTCCACAACCTTGAGCCCTCTCCTAGTTTTTCTCCCAGCAATCAGATTTCTCTTCCTCAGACTCCTCCTGAGGCCTCACCACCCTACTCCTACATCCCTGACTGAGTAACCTCCAAGATTCTGGCCTCCTCCTTCTCTTCCTCCCTCATCAAGTCCATTCATTCTTCTCGTAGCTTTAACCACTTCAATGTGGCTGACTTTCAAAGTCTTCCTAGAGTTGCAGTCCTATGTCTCCAATTATCTGTAGGACATTTATACCTAGGTGTCCTACTAGCACCTTGAACCCAACATACTCCAAACTGAATTCATCACCCTTCCCTTTATCCTAACATACTCATTCCCCCAACTTTGCTATTCCTGTTAAAGGCACCACTGTCTTCTCAGTCACCCAGGCCTCAAACCTCAGTCACCTAACCTACTATATTCTATCTCCATTTTTTTCTCTCATACTTATCGCCTCTGCTATTAACACACACACACACACACACACACACCCCCCTACCATCCTAGTTCAGGCCTTTATCATATTTCACACAAAACGGGGAGAGAATAAGCATTTATATAGTGCCTACTATATGTGCCGGGCACTGTGCTAAGCACTTTACAATTATTATCTCATTTGATCGCCATTAACACCTAGAACTCCTTCATATCTGCTTAAAATAAAACATCTAAAACCAGATTTGTTGTTACCTGTAATGGAAAAATCTTCACTGCTACATAGTCATTCATAAGCTGAGCCTTCCAGACACAGCCAAAACGTCCCCGGGCCTTGATCTCCAGCAGTTGCAACGGCTTCAGGCCAACAAGTGGAGAAGGGGGTGGAGGACCCGGGTCCTAAGATAACAAAGGGATTAATAATAAAAGAGTACAGAAGTCTCTTTCCTGTACTGTCAAGGTTAACAACAAGCCAAGCCCCTGGGAGGGATGTCTAAGGGTTCTTAACATGGCTACACTTTCCCAACAAAAGGTATACAAAGCCTCAGCTAGAAATTGGGGAGCAGAGTTCATCTCCTGACTCCACCCTCCAGCTCTCATGTCCTACCATATGAACCTATGCAGGTTACTTGGTGTTTTAATTTTCTTACTGCAAAACAATGAGAATTTCTCTGGCTCACGGACCTTGACAGTAGACTATGGGGACCTAGGAAAGGAACAGGTGGGAAGGGCATTGGAGTAAGTTCTTATTTTCATTGTCCTCTAGGTGAGAAGCACGCGTATCCATAAGTGGTATGAGCACAGGAAAGCAAGACCTTCCATCTATGGGAAAGTCCCTTCCCTGGAAGGGGGAAGAAATTAAGTATTTTCTCTCTTTCAATTCCTAGATGCTTCCATCTATCCCGTCTCTCCCCAGCAGTCTCTATTTCTTCAATTCCTCTGAGTACCTCATTGACATCCACATGACCGTAGGGAGGCTTTCGGTGCCTGTACATCCAGAATGCAATGACAATGGCCAGAGAGAGGCCCCCAATAGGCAGCAAGGCATATGCAAGGACTGTGAGTAGAGGGACAGTTGAGGGTGGCTCATAGGTAACTGCAGAGAGATAAAAGGGTTTTGTTCACACGTTGAAGCAGCTGCCCCCTTCAAGCCCACAGCATCATCATTTTTCCTGGTTCAGCCTTCATGATTCCATCTTGCTGGTCTTTTCTTTGAGGCTAGAGAGGCTAACAAAAGGCTAGATGCCTCACTAACTAACCCTCAACTGAGAGAAAGTACTTGCAGAATGATTTCACATGCCCCATGCCAGGCCTCCAACCCCAGAGTGGAAAATACATGCCAGAAGCCAGGCGTTTATCAGATGCATCTATGTATAGATGACTATATTAGAATATATAAATGCCATATACACATATTTATTCCTATAAAATTATATAGGTGGATGTATGTTAATAAATCAATCAATAAACATTTATTAAGCACCTGTTAAGTGCTAGGGATACAAAAAGAGGCAAAAGACAAGCCCCTGCCTTCAAAGAGCTTGCAATCTAAAAAGAAGAGACAACAGCCAAACATATACAAAGCATACTCTTTCAGAATAAATAATAACAAACGGGAAAGCACTGGAATAAAGAGGGGCTAGGGAAGGAAGGCTTCCAGTAGAAAGTGAGATTTTATTTATACATCTGTATGCATGAGTGGTAAAAATGGTCAAAGCATTTAGAAGAAAGACTTGGCTTTGACACCACCTGTCTGACTGTGGGTGGGTTAGTTTCTCTGAGTCTCAGTTTCCTCATCCAAAAAATGGGGATAACATTTGCACTACCAACCTCATAGAGTTGGTGGGAGGAAAAGTATTTTGTAAACCTTAAAACATTACAAGTATGAGATCATTATGATGATGATGATGATGCTGATGCTGATGATGATGATGTGTGATTATAAATATCTATGACATAGTGTACCAGAGTGGATAGAAATCAGGACTCAGAGTCAGAAAGATCTGGGTTCAAGTCTGCTCCCTGATACTCCCTGGCTCCAAAGCTTTAAGTGAGTCACAATCTCTCCATGCCCCAAGAGACTCTCTAAGACTCTTAAATTGCAGAGAAGATTCTGATTTCTATGGGTGACAAAGTTTCTCACCAGAAGCTCCCTGTGCCTATGAAATCAGAGGTCCAATTTTTTTTTAAAGTAAATAAACACTTACATTTTATGCTGAGGATATGAATGTCATGTCTATGAACAAATCTCAGGCAGCTCTACAACATGGTTAAGGGAAATGCTGAGCACTTAACACTTTGGAAACCAGAGATTTGGGACAATGAGGTGATTCTCCAGTCTTCCCTTTGCCCCTCAAAAGAATGAGGCATTATATGAGATTTGGAAGTTTAAGGTCAGAAAATAAAATCTTTAAAACACAGCCTTTTCTATTTCTTAGAGGTGGGGGAGGGAAAAGAGGTCAGTGGTCATTTAACTCCAAATGGAATAAAATGATTTCTTTCTTTCCTATCCAATATCACCAGACTATCTTCACTGCTGTTGGGGAAAACTCTCTGGTCTTTCAATCAGTCTTTATTAAGCCCCATCATAAGCTATAGTGAAAATAAGAGCAAACAATCTAGTGGAAAGATCACTGTCAGAGACAGAGGACCTGAATTCAAATCCTGCCTCTAATTCTTATTCCCTATGTGATTTTTTTTTTTTTTTTTTGAGGCAATCAGGGTTAAGAAACTGGCCCCGGGTCACACAACTTCTGTCTGAGGCTGAATTTGAACTGAGGTCCTCCTGACTCTATCCATTGCTCCATCCAGCTGCCTCATCCTTGTGTGATGTTGAGCAAATCACTTAACCACCCTGGCCCTCAGTTTCCTCATTCATAAAATGATAAGACTAGTCCTGATGCTGTCCAAGATCTCTTCCAGCTCCAGATCTATGATTCTATGATCTAAGTTTAGCCAGTTGGGTCCTTCAACAATAGACAGTTTTTGTCAAGGGGGCTGCCCTTGAGATATCTCCAGCTTGCTGGTATCTATCTAGAGTTTTTTCTGTGTGGCACAGTCTTTGAGAACCTTATAATCACGTTCGTGCTTTGAGTTCCTAGTAATGGGACTTCAATGGAGCCTTTCAAAACAATCCCCCATCCTGTTCAGTTTTCTCCTTGACAGCATATGTAACTGTGCATGTTTGAACTGATTTACAATACCCACCCTCCAAAACAAAACAAAAATCTCCATTTAAGAAATACATTTTCTAAGCCTCAGTTGGCATCCCTACCATTTTAAAGGATACTTAAGAAACTGAACCCATAACTTGTTCTTGCTTGACTATACTTATTTTATTATAAGAGAGGATTCTATTTTTACTTGGGGAGGTGTTAGAAAGGGGTAGTGATAAGGATGCCCCCAAAAAAAGAAAAAAGTATCAATTAACATTTTTAAGATACACAGAAGGGAGTAGAAAAAGGGACCACAGACAAGCAGGGCAATATTGGATGAGCATGTTAAATGCAATATATATTTAAAAGAAAACAAGCTGTATGTAATAGAATATTACATGTTCTTAAGCAGAGCTTCAGTTTCACGCACAATCCTATTTTTCTATTCATTGCATATGGAAATATTTGTGTTTGCTGATGTCTGTCAATTTCATAAAACAAATGAATTGTTTTAAAAAACTGAATCCATATGAAAATTTTCTCTTTGTTAATTAGTTGCTTTAAAATTGAATTGTCAAGTTTCCTGAGGGCAAAGAATGCACCATCATCATCTATTATTGTAATGGCCTCACACACCCCAAAATAAAATTTTCCCTGAGCCAAGTCGAGTCATGCAACAGCAGCAGCTCAGAAATTAAGTGCAGAATGAAAGTCACTATTGATGAGAGCTGACCATCGAAGCAATAGGAGTCCTGTAGAATAATGAGACACCACAGAACCTAGGGGAATGAGGGACAGCACGACACAATACACAGTGTAATACTCGAAGTGAAAATGCTATAAGTTCAAAATCCTATCTTATTTTCCTATGGTCGAGCCACAACCTCTGAGACTCCTCAGCTTCCTCATCTGTAAAATGGGGAGAATAATAACCCCTGTAGTACCTACCTCACAGGGCTACTGTGGAATTAAAATGGGATAACGCATATAAAGTGCTCGCAAATTTTAAAGCCCTACATAAATGCGAGTTATTGTTGTTTTGTTTCCCCCCATGCCCCCTTCTTTCCAGCTGGCTTCACCCCCTCAGCCCAGTGGGCTTCCAGAGCCAGCCCAGCTTCCCTCACCTTCAGGGTTGGTGACCTCAGGTAAGTGCGTGAACTTTTCATTGCAGAAGTTCCCCTCACAGCAACAGAAGAAGACCTGGGGGTTCTCTTCGGTGGCTACACATTCCTGCCTGTGACAATGGAGCAGTGCAGAGGAGTTGCATACATCATCAAAGCCATCCAGACTTTCTTCCTAGAGTCCATTAGATTCTAAGCACTTACCCTTGACCCCTGGGGGGTGGAGGGAGGGGGAAGCTGAGAAGATGAAGGCCTGCCCCATGTGGAGTGTTAATTCCCAAGTGTTTACTTCCATTTCACAGTTGGAAGAGAAGTAGCCCTTGAGAGCCACTTTGCTGATGGCTAAGCATCAAGATTACACTTGGAAACACTGACAAATAATACTTCATGATTTTAAGCAAAACAAATTTCAAGCTTTCAAGGAGACTACGGGAATATTCCCAACAAGAGGATTCTGTAGTTTGGTAGGGGAGTTGGGGGGGAAGCCTAGGTGATCCTTCCAAAGTATCCTAAAGATGCCCCATCTCCTGATCCCTTCACCTTCCTGCCAAGCATGGGCAGTTAGTTAGTCACAGCTATACAGTTTGGGCTGTCATGACTATCCCACTGACTAGCTAGGTTACTACACCACTAAGATATGCTCAAAAAGACAGATGGTTCTCTGACCAGGAGAACTCCATCTGGTTGAAGGAGTGGGGATTGCGCTGGGGAGAAATCTCAGAGGTGGGTGAGCAGTACCTATCATAGCAATTGAAGTCATCCAACCAGCAACCCTTCTTCACGAGCTCAATGGTGCCAGAGCTATTCCTCCATGAGGCGTAGCAATGAAGGCGCTTGTCCTTCTCCCCCTCACAACGTTCCAGACCACTCTGGTTTGTCTTCTCCAGTTCCCAGTTGGCATTGTAGTAGATGCACTCCCTGGTCTCAACCTCCCCACGCCCTGGGCCTGCAGGGTAAGAACAAATAAGAAAAAGTAGGGAAGGTGATTGATGAAGGAGATACAACCATCTATAGATCCTTGGGTCCCTGGGTCCAGATCTGCAAGGGTGTAAGAGGAGTAAGACAAGCTAATTCTTCTCTACTTGACTTCAACTGCATCCCTCCCTGACTCTCTTTCTTGCACCATTCATCCTCTCCCAACTGGATTGTCCCCATCTGTCTACAAACACGACCAGGCCTCCCCATCTACCTACTATGCCCATCCCTCTCCTCTCCTTCACAGTAAAATTTCTAGGGGAAAAAAAATGGTCTACATTCATTGTTTCTATTTTTCAAACTCAGTCCAGCTTGCCACTTAACACTCTAATGAAACTGTTCTTCCAAATATCACCAATGACTTTCATTCAGTTTTCATCCTACCCGATATCTCTGCAGCAATAGAACTCTTGGTCACTCCCTTTCTTCCTTTTAGATATACTGATTCCCATTAGTTTCAGACAAAACATACTCAATTAGTGTTCTTCAAACAATCAATGAATCAATGTGTTTATTGAGTCCCTACTGTGCACCAGATGCTGTTAGGTAGTAAGGATACAAATAAAAAAAAAAGAAAGAGAGAGAGAGAGAGAGAGAAAGAAAGAAAGAAAGAAAGAAAGAAAGAAAGAAAGAAAGAAAGAAAGAAAGAAAGAAAGAAAGAAACAGCTGAGGAGCTTATGTCATTGCTCTAACTGTGTCTCTGATTCCTTCACGAGCTTCTGGTCCTCTTCCCAACTCTTGAAAAGGGTATTCCCTGAGCTTCTGCCCCTGGCCTTTAATTCTCCTCCTTCTATACTCTCTCTCTTGGCAATATCCCTCATTCCCACAACTTCAAACATAACCTTGACACAGATCACTCAAATCTCTATCTCCAGCCCTGAATTCTCCTTCAAGATACTGACTCACATCTACAACTGCTGAGGTGGTAATTAAGATATTTCCACCTGGATATTCTGCTAGCACTTCAAATTCTATTTTTTTACTCCCAAACTAATTCTTCTTTCAGTAGTCCAACTATTCACCCAATTTACCAAGGTCAAAACCTTTTATCCAGTTACCAAGTCTCATATCTAGTTCCTCACTCTGCCCTTATCTCAGCCCACTCCATTTCCATGGTCACTATACTAATATAGGTCCTCATTACTTCCTGCCTGAATCACCAGTAGAATGTAAGCTCCTCAAGGGCAGGAATTGTTTCACTTTTTTTTTTTTTAGCACAAGTCACTTAATCAACAAGCATTCAGTAAGTACCTACTATGCACAATGTTTATGAATAGTCATTATATTTCATGAACATAGTAGGGACTTTAAAAATACTTGTTGACCTAAACTATAGCACTAGCCTCCTTAAAAGTCTTGCCTCATTTTCCCTCTGCCCCTCCAATGAATTTTCAGTACTGCTATCAAAAAGATCTTTCTTAGGCACAATTTTGGTCAAGTCACTCCTCCAAGACTCCACCGGATCCCTAATTCAAACCCCTTTCTCTATCATTTAAAGTACTCCACATCCTGGTGCCATTCTGCCTGTTTCTGATTTCACTCCTACTATAATTTTTCCATAAACATTACACTCTAACCAAAAGTAACTACTTGTTAACCCCTTGGCAAACTGAACTTGTATTTCCCTACTGCTGTACCTATACTTGGAATGTCCTCAAAATCTTCACTTACCGGTGGAAATCTCCTTCTTTGTTTATGGGGTTTTTTTGGTTTTGGGGGGTTTTTTTGGCTAGGCAATGGGGTTAAGTGACTTGCCCAGGGTCACACAGCTAGTAAGTGCTATGTGTCTGAGGTCAGATTTGAACTCAAGTCATCCTGAATCCAAGACCAGTGCTCTATCCACTGCACCACCTAGCTGCCCCTGGAAATCTCCTTCTTTAATGCCCAATTCAAATTCTCTATCCTCCAGGACATCTTCCCTGAGCCACTCACTCATCCACTATTCCAGAGGATATAAAGGAGCTTCCCCTCTTTAGATCCCCCATAGCAATTGGTTTGTACCTTTCTAAAGCACTCATCTATTAAGTTTACCTTGTAGTTATTTATGTTTCTGTCTGTAGTAGACAAGGACAGGTTAGATAGTGACACCTCACTCTGCCCCCCCCCCCAAAAAAAACAACTGGGAATGCCATAGAAGGGAGGTATCATGGAAAATCCTCAGGATGTAGAATCAGAAAAGAGCATGACAAATCACCAGCTTTCACAAGTACCATACCTTCTCCTGCTAGCCTGCCCCTAGCCCATCTTCCCTAGCACCTCTCTCAGTATCATGTTCAGGTAATAAGTAACATGAGAAGTTCCACCAGCCCAGTATAAGCAGTTTCAGGTTCACACTATCAACAGGCTAGCATGGTACATATGTACAACAGAGTAAAGAGTCTGGCCTATCCTTCCTAAAGGACACATCTCCCACAGAGATCCCTGTCAAGCTTCCAAATCCAACTCCTAGGTTCAGTTTTCTTTCCCTTCTTCCCCAAAGAACTTTGTCCTCTGTCTAATCCTTCCTGCTTAGACAGTCCAGGCTAGAAAATCAGACCCTGGGCAACTAGGGTCACGATCTATAGGACATGGGCTGGGAAGAAGAGTGGGGCCTCATAGGATCCATGCCCTGATACTCCAACCTAAGTCCCCAAGCTTAAGGGAAAGGCCAGACTCTCTGTGTAATTCCAGCAACCTGTTATCAGAGTTGGTTGGCCTGAGATACCAGGACTTAGTCTGAGAGGAGTAACAGAGAAATCCTCACTTAATTCCTCATAAATACAGGAGTCCCACCTGTTTGGTGGAATAGCTTTATAGACTCAAGAGTTACTTTAATGATACTATGTGTATTTGATAATTCTTTCAAGAATCAAAGTCAATCTCACTGGCATCTAATTTGTAGAATATGCTCTTCCCCTTTTTGTTTTTAAATCTAGCCCTTTGCCTCTCAGTCTTGTACTTCCTCTCCCTTTAGCTGTTTTTCAGAGATTTTTCAGAGATGACCTACAGAAACATTTAAAATAGAAACATTTTAAAAAACAAATAGAAATGACCTACAGAAACATTTAAAATAGAAAATTTTAAAAAACAAATAGAAACATTTAAAAAATGAGATGCTAGCTGGTCTTATTTCTTAAATATATAGCATTCCCCTATCCACCTAAGGCTCACTCCCATATACCTCCCTCTTCCTCTAACTTCCCCCTAGCTAACTGATACCACTCATCATTCTCCCAGTTGCCAAGGCTCCAAATCTCACAGGCATCCTTAACCGTTCCTTCTCAAAAGAACAAAAAATGGCTAATAGTAAATTGAAACCCAAGAGAAGTAGAGGAGATATTAGCAAAATGGGTATCTTTGATGAGTTCAAGTCCCCTCGAATAGCGTGAGAAACTCCGTCAAATGCTTCGTTAAAATCTAGGTAAACTATACTTACGGTTTTCTCCCCACTCCCCCTACCAATGTAGTAGTCGAGCCAAGGTCCACATGAACTACAGACCAAAGCAGTGTATAAACTGGTGGATGTGACTGTACAGCTTCTGTAGGTCATCTCTGAAAAATCTCTGAAAAACAGCTAAAGGGAGAGGAAGTACAAGACTGAGAGGCAAAGGGCTAGATGTAAAAACAAAAAGGGGAAGAGCATATTCTGCAAATTAGATGCCAGTGAGATTGACTTTGATTCTTGAAAGAATTATAAAATACACAAAGTATCATTAAAGTAACATCTAGAAAAAGAAGCAATAACCACAAAAGGTTTCATCAAGGAAAGGTTATGCTAGAGTAACCACATTTCCTTTTTTTTGTGGGGGGTGGAGGTGCTGAGGATTACTAGATGTTATAGTTTATTTTAGCAAAGCATTTGACAAAGGCTCTCAACTATTCTCCTGGAAATGGGGCAGATGACAGCATAATTAAGTGGATTTTGAGCTGATTGAATGGTCAGCCCTGAAGTATAATCATTAATGGTTTGATGTCAGTTTGGAAGGAAGTCAACAATGGAGTGCCTCAAAAATCTTTTCTTGACCTTATGATATTTAGCATTTTTACTGATGACCTGAATAAAAGCACAGGTGACATGCTTATCAAATTTGCAGTTAACACAATGCTAAGAGGGACAACTAATGTGTTGCATGACAGAGCCAGGATCCAAAAAGATCCTGACAGGCTAGAATATTAGGTGGAAGTGAATATGAAATGTAAGAGTGATTAATGCAGAGTTCTATGCTTCTGTTGTTGAGTTGTTTCAGTCATGTCCAACTCTTTGTGACCCCATTTGGCATTTTCTTGGCAAAGATACTGGAGTGGTTTGCCATTTCCTTCTCATTTTACAAATGAGAAAACTGTAGCGAATAGGGTTAAGAGACTTGCTCAGCGTCATACAGCTAGTAAGTGTCTGAGGCTGGATTTGAACTCAGGAAGATGATGACTCTTCCTGATTCTCAGCCCAGTGCTCTGTGCATTGTGCCACCTAACTGCTACAGTTCTATACCGGGGGTTCAAAATATCACCTTTAAAAACAGATCTGGGGATTTTAGTGAACTGCGACTGCAATAATTCAAATGTGTGATACGGTGACTAAAAAAGCCAAATTGAGAAATGGTATCTAGGACTAGGGAAGGAGAGTGCTGTACCCTGCCCTGCTTGCACCATACCCTAAAGCAATGGTGTCAGACTCAAACAGAAACAGATCCTTGTTGCAAAATGACTTAGAAAACTACAAATTAACAATATCTATGTTGTACTGTAGTTTTATTTATCTTGTTAAATATTTCCCAATTACATTTTAATCTGGTTCTGCTTCGAGTTTTGCCAACTCAAGTTTGCCATGAGTTTGACACTATTGCCTTGCAGTACTGTGTTCTGTTCTCCTAGGAACCATATTTTATGAAGTAAATTAATAAGCCAGAGAGTGTCCAGAAGAGTGTAACCAGGAAGGCAAGGTGCCTTGAGATCATGCTATTTTAAGATCGGCTGAAGAAACTCGGGATGTTA